AGGTGGGCACTGGGAGACACCTGAATCCACAATAATAGTAGAATCATTCTAACGTTTCTTAGTCAAGTCAGAGAGGTATGATTAGAAAGAAACATCCATTAGGTAGGCATCAATACTTGGTGAAAATTACTATGCAAAGATACAAAAGCACAATGTAAAGATACATAAGGCACTAGAAAAAGCACAATGAAGCTAATGATTAATGTAGTTGTAAGAACTAAGTAAGAAGGTTTTGGAAAGAATAAAGTAGATTCTCCAGGAAATCATATAATCAAAGCAGAGGGGTGGGGTGAGCAAAAGTCACCATTGTTAACACTTTAGTGTGTATTAAAAGCAAAGGCAAATCACTGGAATAGTGGAGCTAGAAATTTGAAAGCATAGCACACCCATTTATTGAAATTGTTACCTAATTATTAAAATATAGTTTTCTTTGCAAATTATCACTCCATACTGATCTCTGTGCATCTGTCTCATTATTGTAATAGTCTAGCTCTAAACAATGTCAATGTTTTTATATCATACTTTACTATATACTTAAACTTGAGAATAACACATGCTTGCTTGAGTACTTCATAAATTGCATTCTCAAAACACAGTCAAGTAAATTCTGAAATCACCAAACTCTCCCTGTTGAAGGACTATAACAAATGAAGTGGGGGTTTGCTCTTCAAGCCTGTGTACGTCTTTGAATATTATCTCACTTGCCTCTGTGATTCTTTGTTTGCTTTCTTCCATTCTGGAGAAGCCTGTGTTCTCTCTTGAAAACATTTATTCCCTTTTTCTCCTTTCAGATCTTTGCTTTTTTTCCCCCTCTCATGTCTTTCTAAGCAAGTTTTATTCAATAAAAACTATTTTGCTTCACTAAAAAAAAGAGAGTAAATAATGGAGTGATCAGTAAATGAAAATGAATCCATTATGGAGGAAGTGTTTCAGAAACTATTAATCCAAATAAACACTTAGCATTTTCAATAATTAGTTAAATGATGAGCGTACTATAAGCAACTTATTGGAAAGATTAGATCTAGGTTCTAGCTGTGTGCCCATTTTACTCATGAAATTCCTTATGTTCAAGTTTCTTATAATCTTCTAAATTATAGAAATGAAGTACTTACTGTTTCCTATAAGTAGAGCAGGGTAAGAAAAAGAAACTAGATTCTTATCTTGCTTGGTTTGCATTTACTGAGATCACTGAACTTTACCTAGTTGCAAATATCTTTTCTAATCAAAACATATCAGTTATTTTCATGGTTTAGAAAAAATATTCTCTGCTAACTTTAAATGTTTAATATTGCTACTCAAAAATGTTAGAAAGTAGGCACCAATGTCCCCATCTGGATATAGAGAACGACCTTGACGATTCACCTTTGTTAAAGCTTTTAAAATAAAATCTGTGAAAGTGAGCTGAAATACTGTTTATAGCTCCTTCTCTGAGCCTGGGTACAACAAGGGCTGGAAAACAACAATAATTAAGTCATGAGTCTTTGTCTTAATTCTACAACCCTTTGGTAGTTCTCCTAATTCAACAGTCTTTTTAGACGAGTTCCCTTTCAACTCTCAAAGCTTTCCATTCTTCTATGACCTTTAGAGATGTCAGAGGTCTTTTGGTTTCTCCAAAGGAGTTGACCTGCTTTGGGGGTATTCCAAGAGGTAGTGATCTTGAGTATAGAAATAGGCTTAGAAGAGTTGTGTGGTTGTGAGTTAATTTTATAGGAAGTGGAAAACAGCACTTTTCTCCACCACACTTCCAGAATTAATCATTCCCACCTCTCTTAGCAGCACTTTTTACATTGCCTATTTGCTTGTCTATCTGACTGCCCAACTTACTGTAGTTTGAAACCTTTGGGTCAGAAATTCATTCTTTTTCTGTTTGTGGTGCCCATTGCAATGCATTGTAAAATATAATGAAATTTTAATCAAACAGGATCAAAATTTCTGTTCATTCACACAAAGGGAGACATATGAATTGCTATATTGCTGGTTCATAAAATTAACCAAGTTTCAGGTGAACAGCTTTATATTTCAACTTCTTTCTGTTATATAACATAATCATCATCAAAACACTAGTTCTCATCCTGCACCTCACAACTTAAGATAGTCCTATGCTTATTTTACTGCCCCTTTCTGTAATTCTTCATGCTCACAAAACTTCAGCAATTTCAAAGATTTAAAAATGGATTAAAGCGACCAGAGAGATAATACAGGGATTAAAACTTTTGCCTTAGGAATGGTCAACCCTGATTCAATCTCTAGCACAATATACGGTTCCCCCAAACTCTGCCAAGAGTGATCCCTGAGCACTTTTTGATATAATCCAAACCCCCAAACAAAAAGGACTGAATCACGTGCTTTTCATGTAGAAGACCTGGGTTAGATTCCCAGTAATGCATCCAGGCACCATTAGGGAAAAATGCCCGAGTACCAAGATGTGAGGAAACCCTGACCACTACCATGTTTGATATAAAAAACAAAAAAAATTAAAAGTCATGTAGTGAAGTACTCCTACAGTTAAAGTGATTAGAACCAAAAGACAAAGTCAGAACACAAAGTATTAAAAATTTCCCCATCAAAATTGCTAGAGATACTCTTACATATTTTACTGAACCAATCCCCTAAACATTCTAATTATAAAATATAACATTGCATATTTTAGAGCAGAGAAATTATTCTGATTCTATAAAGATGAATACATGTGATTATGCATTTGTCAAAGCCTATATAATGTACAACACTCACAGTATGTGCAACACTAAGAATGAACAATCATATAAACTAATGGCATTACTTCTGCAAACTATTTTTCCTACAAAAGAGGGTTTAGGAAATTGCTACATTTTATATATTGAGCATATTTCAGGCTCTCAGAGGATCAACATTGACCAAGCTAAGAATCATATTTCATTTTAACCCATTCCTCAAATATTCAGGTTTAATAAGTTTTGCTGTAACATCCAACATTATGGAATGATAACCGTTGCAGAAATATAAAAAGTTAGTTACTACAATGGCAGAAATATATCTTAGAAATTGCCAACTGTTTTCATAATGATATGCATAGCCTTAAAAATAAATTTACAACAACTTTTGTTTACTATAATCTATCCATAGTTATCTAGAGGGTTGAGACACGTCTAGACAAACAAACATGAGCAATGCTCAAAATTCTAATAGAAAAGTAAGAGTGGGCCAAACCACAAGAAATACACAGATGCCTTATGTCATCAGGCTTGCACTCTATAAGTTTTATTTGGGTGACAGACAAAGAAGCCAGTTCACCTCACTAACTGTCATTCTTACTTCATTGTTACCTTGCCAGCATCAAGTGACGCTTGTTATGGACAACAAAATTTATGTTTATGACTGTGTAATAACTGAATTAGTAGAACTATAAATTTGACCTTTTTATCTTGAAGATAAAACCAAGATAGAAAAAGAAATACTTGCTTCCTATTTGTCAGCTTTACTTAATACTACCGCAAGCATCTCCATGTAACTATAGTTTTGTTTTTTTAGAAACAAAAAAACAAAGGAAGCACAAAACTTGACACTATGCATAAGCAATACTCTCTGTGTAAACTTATATCACACTAATTCTTCTAGCCTATCAATGATCAATCATTACTTACTTGGATTTTCTTAAACTTTAATCTTAAATAAAAGTATACTGTATTTCTCCAGAGATGCTGGACGCATTTGGTAGACTATCACCAAAAAACATGCATTCTTGGCTTATCCAAATATACTCTTATTTTATCCTGATAAAATAAACATTTGTTCATTTATGCTTCCATTTTAATCTTTATTTGCTTTCCTTTTTTTTTCTGTGACAGAAATCAAGACCAGCTCCTATATATAAAAGAAAGGAACATTGAACCACATCCTCAGCCCTGATTTTACTTTATTCTTAAGTAATAACATATAAAAAATCTTGAAGTTTGACATATTAATTCTGAACAAATAGTGAAATCTATGATCCCCTAAAATCATCTTGTCGTCTTGCATACATGACCCATTGATCACATAACACACATCTCAGAAAACACAAACATGCAATTTTTTTTATCATGGAAATAAGGAATGAGAGTCCTAGTGGGAGAAGCAATGATACACTCTCCTTCCCAGGAGATACTCAAATAATTTTTAATTATTTATTTTATACTGATCCTTGGGAAATAAAAACCTCTTAAAAATATTGTGATTACTATGCCAAAGAGAGTTGGAAATGACCACTCTGAACAAGAACTGAGTGCTGAAAGTAGGTAAAGAGACGAACAAGATAACCTTTCAGTACCTGTGTTGCAAACACAATGCCCAAGAAGGAGAGAGAGAGAGGGAGAGAGAGAGAGAGAAAGAGAGAGAGAGAGAGAGAGAGAGAAGATAAGTGCCTTTCATAGAGGCAGGCTGGGGGTAGAGGGTGGGAAGGAAACTGGGGACATTGGTGGTGGGAAATGTATACTGGTGAACGAGAGAGAAGATAAAACATTGTATGACCTGACTGAAACCCAATCATGAACAACTTTGTAACTGTGTATCTCATGGTGATTAAAAAAAAATAAGAAGAAAAAAATGTGATTAGATGAAATTTTCATAAAAAAAAAACTACCCAAGGGATTGAGGCGCTAGATCTCTAACACTGAATTTATATGTGATACAATAAATATATGAAATAAAACATTCTACTGAAGCATGCAATCTGAAAGAAACAGCATCCTTTGAAACCAAAGGCTTTAGCTATTAATGCTCTGGCGATGTAGTATCTGTGTGTGCCTATGTATGCTTAATGTTCTAGTCAAGTGACCTGGTCTCATTTGGTTAAGTTTCAACCACAAGACATCACTCTGTGCCATTTTTTTTCAAGATACACGTCACAGTACACCAAAAAGGGGGAACTTTCAGCGTCTGTGGTAACGTCACTTGATAAACACGCTGCCTGATCCAGCTTGTGAGTCTTCACTATATAAAGCACAGAGAAGTAGACGGGGAGATCATTGCCGGTGAGGACTGAGCAAGCAACCGCCATCTCCACGCCGTGAAAGTAGATAAAATAATGCCCAGGATGTTCTTCTCTGCCAATCCAAAGGAACTGAAAGGAACTGATCATTCTCTTCTAGAAGACAAAACACAAAAAAGGAGGCCAAAGACCTTGTAAGTTCTTACCAAATGTGCATTTTGCCTTACACTGGCTTTAATGGCAAGCAGATTGAAAATTTATGAAATTAAGAGCATTTGATTTAGATAGGACAGAGAGACTGCATGCTGTGACTTAAATGCGTAGCCTGTTGTTTTGTAAAATGAATCATGATAAGGCACTAAATTAGGTTGAAACTTTTCCAGACTTCTGCTCATAAAAATGGCACTTACTTAAAGATAACAAAATACTGGATTATTCCTTGGAGAAATCTATTTTATTATTTTCTCTTTTTTGGAAGTAAGATGTATCCTACTGTGTTAAGATGAATATTCACATGTTGGGTACTTTTTGTTCTGTTTGTAGTGGAATGGATATGAGAGCATATCTAAGGTCTCTGATCCCACATATGGAATCTGGACTGAAGCCTTCCAAGTCCAAGGACATGTACGTATACTTAGATTCTCAATGATCATCACAAAAGCCTGTGCATTAACTCTGTAATCCAACAAGAATTTATTTCCTGGGACCACAGAAATAGTAGAGGGGTTAAGGCACTTGCCTTGTATGCTGCAACTACAGTTCAGTTGCTGGCACCTCATGTGGTCCCCTGACCAGCAACAATCCCTGAACACAAAAAGCCCAGAACACTGCTAGGTGTGATCCAAACACCAAAAAGAAAAAAAAGTAATTTATTTCCTTTAACAACACAAATAGATTACTTTATATTAGTAACAAGTGTAAATTAAATATGAATGGACACATACTTGATTTTTATTATTATACTTGTGAAGTTTCTGTATCTAAATTTTTCAGATATTTTCAAACCTATATTAATTTTAATGGACATAGAAAAATTTATTAGACTGATAATCTTATTTTATAAGTTTATCCAAATTCTATAAGAACTTTGATTTCAAGTATGCATATACAAAATTTATTGTAGTAATTTATTAAATTTTTCCCTTTGTAGACTTTCTGCTGATGAAGTAGTACAATGGTCGCAATCTCTGGACAAGCTGCTTGCTAATCAAAGTAAGATTAAGTATCAACTGCTTGATGTTTCAAGAAATTGAATAATGTCACTAAAATATAGTGTTCCATGCTGAATAGTGTACAAAAAGTTTTATTCTAGATTATCTGTAATTACAGTACCTTCATCATCTATGCCTTATCTTGTAATATAACTTTGGCAGAGAACCCAGTTTTTTCACTGTCATTCAGATAAATCTGCCAAGACAGGTGCTTCTAAGATTTATTATAGGAACAAAATAAAAAATTAGTCTAGGATTCTGAGGTTTAAATTTTTTAGCTAACCATAGTTTTAAAGGCTAAATAAGAGTTAAACATGTGAACTGCCATTCCAAACACTCTTACATACTATTCTGGAGGTTATTGAGACACAGAGTAATATAAGTGCATTCTATATAGCATGCTATGTGTTCAAGCATAGAGATCATATATAGAATTTTGAAAGCATCCCGTAGGCATTTCTTATGAGAGAAAATAAGGAATGAAAGCAACCTGCTTCCCTCTGGTCATCAGCATTGCAGATTCACTGAGCAGTGTATGAACCACTTGATCTCTAGAACGAGAGGGTCCTCTTCTCTCAAGAAACACCCTAAAAAGTCTGGCTTGGATCAAGTAGCTTCTTGGGATCAATTAGCTTCTATCTGGTTCCTCAGAACATGAGGCTATAACTCTGAGGTGGACCATTGCCTTGCATATGTGAGGCTTTACGTTCAATCCATTGAGATATCAAGCTGGTTAGTCCTCTTGCTATTTTTTAACTTAGTTCATGACTCAAACAAATCATGAAAGATAAGCAGGTCCTATTTAAAACCTTCTGTAACACCAGCAAGTATGATCAGTATATCAAGCACGTGGGGAGTCATAGGACTCAAATTTTCTGACAGATCTGAAATGGACAGGCTAATTTTATGCTAATGACTAGCCTGGCTTTAATGCCCTTTGCCAAGGTTTGCTGCTTTAAGATAGTCTCCACTCTGGCTGACTTGGCAAATATAAGAAAAGAAATTGTACTGTAATCTGAAGAGTAAAATTTTAAATTTTAATTATTAGGGGGAAGTAAGGGACAATTCTGTAGTCTTCACTAAGCAGTTGTGACTAGGATGGATAAGCATGTTTGGTCCAGATGAACAGTAAATGAAGGACATCTAAGTCCTTCCCTCCTCCAAATAGCTGCTTCCACAGAGAAATCTACCTCCCCACAGAAATATATCAATAGTATTTTTATGAAAATTAATTTTAAGCTGTTTATTGGTGGCATAATTAGTTAAACAATCATTCCCACTAACTCTCTTTTTAGCTGGTCAAGATGTCTTTGGAAGTTTTCTTAAGTCTGAATTCAGTGAAGAGAATATTGAATTCTGGTTGGCTTGTGAAGACTATAAAAAAACAGAATCTGACCATTTGCATTGCAAAGCAGAAAAAATATATAAAGCATTTGTGCATTCAGATGCTACCAAACAAGTGAGTATTAAATACATCATCATCAGTTTGTTTCTAAAAAAACTCAGATACAAAAATAACATTCAGGACACTGAGAATCATGACTCAGTAATTTACTGCTATAAATTTAGAGTATTTCTATAGATTTCTGACAGGAATGTTTAGTGTTCTACATCAGTGAATATTTGAACACAGCAGGTTGAGAGGACTGATTTTGCCAAACTAGTTAACGTGATGGGAATGGAGTTAGGAACCTAAAACACCGGTCAGCATTCATGTCAGTGTGCTTATGACAGACTGGGGAAGCCCTTTCCTGCCAAGGACAATTTAGAGATTTATAACATCATTTGAGGGTCATATAATACAGGCAGATGGGCCACAGGCAAATGATGAGAAACACAAGTATTTGTGCTGTTGTATACTAGGGCCAGACCATATGATCTTCCGGTCCTTACATGGTCCACAGGCCAGATGTTAATTGTCCTTGCTTTATGAGCTAGCCCATCTGGGACCAAAATACAAATTAAGCATGATACATAAAATTACAGCAGTAAAAATATTTCATTAGTAATACTGCCGACCTTCAAGTTACATATTCTTGTTCCTAACAAAAAATGGCTGTCAAAATATTTCTCCTAAAAAATCTTAAGAATTCACTCATTTTTTTAATGCATGTAATATCTTATATAGATATTTAAGTTACTTGTTTCTGATTCTAAGGCCTCTCCCAACTCAATTCCCTTGAGTCAAGTTGGAGCAAAGACTTTTCAATAATTTTTTAACTTCCTTCACCCTAATACATGGCTGCTTTAGAAGCATTCAGACTGATATTTACACTGATTTAAATGAGGGATTCAAGTAGCTGCTTAAGATGTTTCAAGTAGCACAATAACATTATTAGTTACACAATAAATTGAAAGTGGGCATGATCTCATGACAATTTCTCTTTTAGATCAATATTGACTTCCGTACTCGAGAATCAACAGCCAAGAAGATTAAAGCACCAACCATCACCTGTTTTGATGAAGCCCAAAAAATCATATATACTCTTATGGAAAAGGACTCTTATCCCAGGTTCCTCAAATCAGATATTTACCTAAATCTTCTGAATGAATTTCAGGCAAATAGCCTAAAGTGACTTGTTTCTGGATGGGGGGAATCAAAGGTAATATCAAGTGCATTAGGAATGTGCCACTATGACTCCCTGGGCAAACCATAAGGCCTTTTTGGGTGACTGAGCAGCCCAGTCTAAGAGCAAATGTTCAGAATGGATTACCACGGACACCATCCAGCTACAGGATTGAAGAACCATAAATGCTAAAATCGAGAAACAGTGGAAGAAGAAACAGCAGAGATATAAATGTATTGTCCTAGGATGGAGGGGGCCTACCAACCAGAAAATCCCTCAGAACTAGAAGGTCAAGGAACACCATTTGCACAGAAACTGTGCATACAAATTTTGAAACAAATGAACATACTATAAGCTTGGGTGTTGGACGACATCCACACTGCACATATTTCTATAGACAGATTGTATTACGCTGCTGAAGTCTCTAATTTATTGAATGGCTATTTTAAAAGTAGGTTTTGAGATGACTACTTCTATTATTGACCCAAAGTGTTTTTATTTAGTATGGTTTATTGACTTGAAAGTGATGAAGAAGAGAATAATGAGTTTAAGCTGGAAAATGAGAATATATCTGTAAATTAATTTATTAGTGTAATAATAAATGTGAATTTTGTATAGAAATTTTGTATAGAATTTTGTATTAAAATGCATAGAAGCAATTAATCTTTATATTTCCTTGTTATTTCAAAAATCCAAGCATAGGTCTTCTATTTTATGTCTCTTCAATAACTAAAACTATGGTCAAAGGAACCAAAGGTAGATAAGTCACTTGCCTTGCACAGGGCTAACCAGGCTTCTATTCCCAGAAACACCATATATAGTTCCCTGAGCCCTGCCAAGAGTAATCCCTAAACATGGCTAGGTGTGGTCCCAAAACCAAAAGTGAAAATAAAAACACCATGAGCCAAGGATCAGGAAGATACCTCAATGGTTTGGAGCACATCCTTAGCATGTAGGTTTGAATCCCAGCACTGCATAATTCCCAGCATGGTAAAAAAATGACCCAGAGCCATGACTGGATATGGCCAAGCACCATTGGAGATGACTAAGAAAAAAATGAAAGTCCATCATCCAATTAATAATATATTTTATGTGTTGTGTTATCAGTTGGACAGAATTTATTATCTATTATAACTGTGTATAAAAATCAAACTGCATAATATGATCTCATATTTCAAACCAATGGAAAAATGAAAAGATAATTCAAGAAGTAATCCAACAACAGATATTTTATTGTGATTTAAAGTTTATAAAATTTAGGTGCATTTTCCCATTGTTAGTAGCAATTCTATGACAGGTGAGACTCAGGAAAAACTAAATCACTAGTTTCCAAGTTTTGCTATCAAAATTGCCTAATGTTAAAAAGCACTGTAGCACTACAGCACTGTCCTCACGTTGTTCATCGATTTCATTGGCACCAGTAACGTTTCCATTGTGAGACTTGTTGTTACTGTTTTTGGCATATCGAATATGCCACAGAGAGCTTGCCAAGCTCTGCTGTGTGGGCGGGATACTCTTGGTAGCTTGCCGGGCTCTCCGAGAGGGACAGAGGAATCGAACCTGGGTCAGCCGCATGCAAGGCAAAAGCCCTACCTGCTGTGCTATGGCTCAAGCAAAATGCTTATTTTAGGATCTTATCTTAGACTGACTCAAAATCTCCATGGGGTAGGGAATAGAAATTTATATTTTATTACTGGGGACAGGGGTGTTTTGACCACATCTGGTGGTACTCATGGCTCATGGCTTATTCCTGGTTCTGTGTTCATGGGTCACTTCTGTCTGCTCAGGGGTATAGATGCAGTGCTAGGAATCAAACAAGGTCCACATGCCAGAGCGATAGTCCGACATAATACAGTACAGCAGGGAGGGTATTTGCCTTGCACATGGCTAACCAGGTTCAATTCCTGACATCTCACATGGTCCCCTGAGCACTATCAGGAGTAATTCATGAATGCAGAGCTTAGAGTTACCTCTAAGCATCACTGGGTTTCGCCCCCACCCCCCTAAAAAAAATCAAACCAAAAAATCCAGGGGCCACATACTAGTTTTCAGGCCCCAAGAATGTATATATTAAAAGAAAACCCAAGGACTGATATGACAGAGAGCAGATAGCCTTGAACACAGAAGATCCAGGTTCAATTCCCAGCAACCCATGTAGGCCCCCAAGCATACCTTGCTCAGAGTCAGGAGCAAGGCTTGAGCATTGCTGGGTGTGGCCCCCAAATTTAAAAAATAATAAAAAATAAATGTATAAATAAAACTCAAGGCAGTTCTGAGGATTATTTGATAATCCAGACTTGACAACCTTGGGGTAAAGCATTCTTAACATTGCTAGAGATCACACATAAATCTAACAATTTGGTGCTTCTTCTATAATACAATACTGCCCCCTACTGACCAGAAGACATTTCCTAAATCACTGAATTTGGCAGCAGGGAACAAAACATAAGATACTCAAATATTGCACCTTCCTGTATAGGCTGATGGCTCTACCTTTCCATGCACCTGTATAATATGTATTACTGAATAATCAGCCATATACGTATCACATTGTAATACTATCCTCAGCACAAACACCCAGCAATGGTATGGGGTTTTGTAGAATGAAAATATTACTCAACTTTCCATAGAACAGCGTTAAAGTTTCCTGTGCCTTAAGATTTATTCCACGGTTTAGCAAGTGATATTATAAAAGAATCTTCAGAAGAGGGTTCAATTTCTCCATCTCCACCCCCACCACCCCCACCATTATCATCAGGCATTTCTCTCCATTACTGAAACCATTACCATGTTCTTTCTGTTCTGTTTTTACACTTTCTGTGTCTAGTGAGTGAATCATTTTTTCTATTATGCATGTCCTCATAAGTCTCTCTTGACTTGTCGCTTTCATGTGATTTGTCTCTCTCTTCTGTCTGTTCTCCTCAATCTATCCTCTATCAAAACATCACCTTCTGGAACACATTTGGCCACCAGCTCATTTCTCATGACACATAAAATGAAATTGAAGTTCCCCTTTCTAGAATTTAAACTCCTCCCAGTAAGATCTCTTTAGTATAATTCCTACTGCTCCCTCTACTTATCCTTCCTACCTTAATGTCAACCTAGATTTTTTTTTCTTGAATAAGTCACAGCTATATCTTCAGTTTTTCATCTCTATTATCCATACAAAATATTTTAAAATATTCTAAAGTCTTTTAAATATGCATCATAGTTTTCAATATCCAGCCAATTGCTTTCAAGATCCAGGTAAGAATAATTCTTCCAGACCAGTATGACAATAACATAGCTGGGAATGAACATGCTGGACAAGATCTGAGGGTTAAAAGCTGATAAAGGGATATTCTTGATAATTTTTCAGTATCAATACTGCAAACCACAATGCCCAAAAGGAGAGAGAGAGAAAGAAAGAAGGAGGAAGAGGAGGAAGAGAAGGAGGAGGAGGAGGAGGAAGAGGAAGAGGAAGAAGGAAAAGGAGAAAAAAAGGAGGAGAAGGAGAAGGAGAAGGAGAAGGAGAAGGAGAAGGAGAAGGAGAAGGAGAAGGAGAAGGAGAAGGAGAAGGAGAAGAGCTCCCATCACAGAGGCAGGCAGAGGGCAAGGGGGGTGATGGGAGGGAACTTGGATACACTGGTGCTGTGAAATATACATGGGTGAAGAGATGGGTGCTGGAATACAGTATTACAGAAATCTAATCATGAACAGCTTTCTAAGCCTGTATGGAAGTTTTTTTTTAACTTTCTGGTTGAATCTCTCACAATGATTCAATCAAAAAGTTAAAAAAAATTCTTCCATATAGGCTTTCTAACACTTACGCCACTGTGCAGCTGTTTAATAGCTATATAATAGCTGATGTAAGTGAAATGAAGTTCACAGAAATACAGAACATTCAGCTCCTAGTTTCTAGTACTGATGTCTTGTTATGTAATCCATGCACTCCAGGAGTTAGAAGTAAGCAATGGTCTAATACATACCTTGGCCATACACTGACACCTCTGCATTAAAAATAAAACTTCCATTTTTGCTGCAGAGATTAAAGATATTGTGAAATTCTTGAGGATATTAGTTATATTTTATTACTGTTTTTCAGTGTAACTGTTTTATATACTTTCTAGTACCGTGTAGTTCCTAAGCATCACACCGTATAGTTCTGGAACTCACAACAATGACCAGGGTACTATAGTACCATTACAATGAACTGAAGACCAAGCTGACTGCCAGCTAGATTGACTAAGACTATTCAGGAAGGACTCTCAGGCCTCCTAATGCACCACCAGTGAGGTCCCAAAATAATTTAATTAAAAACAATTCAAATTTCTTTTAAAAAATTATCAATAATTACAAGCTCTGGAATTCACAGATAAAAGTAAATTCTGGAGGCCAGCGTACTAGTACAGTCAGTAGGGTATTTGCTTTGGGTTTGATCCCTGGCACCCCACACAGTCCCCAAACTACCACCAGGAGAAATCACTAAATGCAGAGCCAGATCCCTAAATGCAATAATGCAATGCCCTAATCCCTGAGCACAGCTGGTATGACAAACATCTTCCCCCCTACCCCCAACACACACAAAGGTAAATCCTGGCATTATTGGGCTCTTATTAGTTGTAAGTGCTAGAATTCATACATAAAAGTAAAAGTAAATCTTAACATCAGTGGCCTCCACGTGGACTACGTCTGTCCTACTACTCACTAGTTTTTTGGCACATAATGATGTTTTTCATTTTGGCTACAGTTATTTTCCAGAGCCAATCCTCTCCCTCTGTATCTCTGTCTCTGTCTCTGTCTCTGTCTCTGTCTCTGTGTGTGTCTCTCTCTTTCTCCCTCTTCCTCACTTTCTCTTAATTTTATTTTATTTTATTTTATTTTGGGCACCCTGTTTCTTATACTGTTGATGGTCAGGTTTCATGTACAAACATTCCCACATCACACCCTCCACCAGAATGTTCGCTACCCCCCATCATTATCCCAGGGTGGCCCCCAGCCCCCAGCCCATTCCCCTTTCTCCCTTCCCCATGGTAAACTTCCTACTGAAGACCATTTCTTGGTTTATGTTGCCTTAGAGCATTTATTACATTCCAATTTTGTGTCTTTGTAGCCCACTTAAGGAGAGAGAAATTTCATTTTACTTTCATTCAGAGATAATGTCTATCTAGATCCTCACCTCTTAGACCTTTTCCTAGAATTCCAGAAAAATCAGATTTCCCTCTTCTCCCTAAAAGTGAGAAGCAAGTAGAGAACCTTCTCTAAATATTTCTCTACTGTCCATATTTGACTGGGTATTTTTTCCTCAATAATTCTTTTATTTGAATTTGGAATCTCCCGTTGAATTGTCTGGATCATGATTTCTGAGTTTTGTTCAGTGAACAAAGGGATGGAAACCTGATTCATGACTGGAAACGAGAGAACTGACATCCTTTGCTTAGGAGCATGGGATGCTTATACAGAAAATCCACAGGAAGGAATCCCCAGGATGGGAGAGTCACACAACCCACACTGGCATGAGTCTGAGTGACAAAGAAGAACCTCAGATTTGGGTGACATGTGCTCAAGATGTTAAGGATTTTTTGTCCTGATCTATATTTAAGTTTTCTTACATGTTGACACCAAAGTTTCCAATTTGGGCTAATTAGGCCACATTCTTGTATGAGCCACTGGTGGCATA